TTGACGGGAGTCTTATGTAGAGTTTAGATAATGATTTAGATAAAGATGATCCTGCCTCGGGCAGGAAGTTGGACTAGATGACCTCTGGAGGTCCCTTCCAACCCTACTTCTCTATGACTCTAACATAGTCTGCTTTTTAAACAATATCCAGTGCTAAATTTACTTTTTTTTTTTTTTCGCAATATTGCAATTTCCCAATGACCTAAAATGTCTAGTAGTGTTCTCTGGTACTTGACTTTCAAAATGAAGTGTGGGTTTAAGTCTGTTCTTTTATGGTGACAAACTTTGAAAGAATAATTTTTGCTTCCTGTTTCTATCCACCGTTCAGAATTTCTCTCTTGGTCTCACATGTTGTATAGAAAGAAGCAGGCCTATAATAATGAGAAACACCCAGCCTTTCCATAAGACTGTGCCATCCACCTTTCCTTTTTTCCAAAAGCATTGGAAGCAAGCTCTATTGACATTCTGGAGCTACTCTGAATAAAATGAAGCCACTTCTTTCTTTTGTCTGAGAATCCATTGAAAAGTTTTGCAAGATGTGGGTGTAAATAGTTCACTGCATCTCCCAGAACGAGAGGAAGAAATTAATTTCATTATAGTACAACATTTTTCCAAGAAGCAAAATTCCCCTTATTCTAGCTAATAGATGTGAATTTCTAGAAGTTCTTTCATCTTAAACTTTTTCAGACCACTTAATAATGGTGAATCTTTCACAGTGATCAATAGGCTATGCACTACCATGGAGAAATATCGTCTCCTGTTGATTAATACTTTGGCCGAGGAAGTAAAGAACATGTGCACCAACAATAGCTCCCGTCCAGTTCAAGAACTTTTCTATTCAAAACCATCCCTAACATCCTGTGCACTGTTAAGTGTTGATACTATACAGCAGTACTGTCCTTATAGTGCTGCAAATCTCTGTAGCAACTGTCCCAAGAGCTGATCTACCAGCGTTACCACCAAACTGGTTAGCTGTTAACTGGAAACATGAGCTTCAAGATTATGGTAATGTGTTTCTCATGGAGGGGAATTCTCATAATAGTAGTCTGCCTCTCCAGCTTTGGAGGGTGTTGGGGGGAGTTCTGTGCAGATTTCTGGGAAACTAGCCTTTGTCATCCTGATGTTCTGCTACTACCATCTTGCCCAGAAGTATTGCTTCAGGTAGGTAATCTGCAAAGGTCACCTCTTGGTTTCCTCCTCTTCCATTAGCTTTATTGCCAGGCATCCAGAGCCCTGTGAACATGCAGAGCCAAACGGATATATCCAGCTGCATTTCAAGTGTCTGCATGTCATGTAGTTCATATTAATGACAGTCATCATCACAGTGCTTGGCACTGGCTCCCTGCTTCTGACTGCTTCCTACCAGTTCAAAACCAGCGTTGAATGCTAAAAGAGGAACCGTGGGACTTTGACCCTTCTTCCACTCCTGGATTTCCTATGGTTCTGGTATGAATCTCTGCATTCATGTCATGAAAAATCAAAGCAGAGTGGCAGAGCACTGTAGCATGGAATATCTGCCCAGATTGCTAAGCGATTAGTTTGAAATAACAAAAAGCCATGTGAATTCATTATTATTAAGTAGGATAGTGCCATAACAAGCTGCTGTGGGTCCATTTCAGTCCACTGTATTGTCGTTGCTTTTAGAGTTAATTAGCTAAGTCACTATAACACCATGTAGACAAGGCTAGAGTTTGTCCTGAAGAGATTTCACTATGCCACTCGCCCGAAAGCACAAAGTCTAAACAGCTGAGGACCAGCAGTATGTATCAAGTTATGGACATTTAAAAAATAGTTTACAATTACAAACTGCAAATATTTTTACCATGAAATTTTTACCATGAAATGGATGTTCTGTGTAATCTTGTATCTAAATATTTGAATGCAGGAAAACCAGGAAAGGAAGGAACAAGCTGCAAAGGCAGAGAAAAGGAAGAAACTTCTTGCAGAGGAAGAGGCTAAACGACAAAAGGGGGAATGTGGAATTATCAGTAAGTTCCCATAAAAGTTTTCCATTCATTTGCCATCTTTTGCTAGGAAGAATCTATAGATACAGATGATCTGGTATGTGGGAGAGTGAAAAGGCATTAATTTAATTTTCTTTTGGTTCTCGGGATGCTTATTCTATCCTAGATGGAAGAACTGAGTATTAGAAAGACACTCATGTAGAAGCACTCTCCACAGGAGGGATAAAATGTGCTTCAAAACTTCATCATCGCCTAAAATAGTCAGGGTAGAATAGAAAAAAAGTCATTCCAAGTGAATAAAAGTATTGAATTTAGCTTTTCCCTCCAGCTTGGAGGTAGTTTATTGCTTTGCATTTTTCTGAATTTCTTGGAATATTTTTATTAGATGTATCAGTTGAATTTGAAATCAAACTCTATTGCTTTGTTGTGATATGGCCAGACAAGTCCCATTTTACTCTTCCTTCCTGTTCCTAATATTTTGCTTGTTCTGATCCAAGTTCTGGTTCAGTAAAGCATTTAAATGTGTAATGCTTTGCTTTGCTGCATAGGCTCTGTGAATGACTTGTATGCTTATAGTTAATCATGCACATAAGTCAGGGGTTCTCAAGCTTTTTAGACTCAAGGTACCTCTCCATAACTCTCCTGAATATAACAACATCCCAATTCAAAAACTAATGTCACCTGCTTTTAACTAGGAAAAAATAATGGAGCAATTATTCTATTGCAAAGATCTCAGAAAGACCACAACAAGTCAAAACGTTTTTGACACTGATTCTTATCTGGGTTTATCTTGTGAATCGTGTAGGTGTCTGCATGCCTAACAGTGCTAATAATTGTATGGTATCCAGTAGGGGTGCACGGATAGATTTTTTTGGGCCAGTATCAATGGCTGATTTTTAAGGAACCATAGCGGCCAATACCGATCTGATTGCCAATATGTGGCCCGGCAGCTTGGAGAGTAGCGTCTGGCTGGTGGGTCTGTTGTGGGGAAAGGCACAGGGGGAGGGAAGGAGTTGTGGGGGGCAGATCGAAGCACCATAGTGAGGGAGGGAGTGGGGCAGGGGCTGGGCCAGGGGCAGGTGCTGCACAGCTGGGGAGGGACAGGGGATGGAGTTGCAAGAGACTCATCCGAGGGCCACAGGGGTGTGTGGCTACCGCTGCTGCATGTATCCCAGGAGGCCATGAGCATGTGTGCCCCCGGATCTGCGCGCTGGGCAAGGGCAGGCTGCCACTGGGCCAATTGCTGATGCTGTCAATTTTCCTTGTATCAGTGCCAATCCAATATGGGACTGATGTATTGGTGCACCTCTAGCATCCAGTGGCACCCTTAAAATGGTTTCAAAGCACCCAACATGTCACAAAACTACAAGAATGTTGTTTCTGTTTCAGTTCCGATGCATTTATGTAGTAAATATAGTAAGTGAGGGTAGATTCATAGATCGTTAGGGGCTGGAGGGGACCTTGTAGATCATTGGGTCCAGTCCCCCTTCTCCTCCCCCCCACCCTAGGCAGGAAGACAACTGGGGTTAGGTGACCCCAGCGAGGTGACTGTCCAGTCTTCTCCTGAAAACCTCCAGGGTAGGTGACTGCACCACCTCTGGAGGAAGTTTATTCCACAGTCTGGACACCCTGACTGTGAAGGAGGTTTTCCTGGTATTAAGCCTGAAGCGGCCTTCCAGGAGTTTGTATCCATTGGTCCTGGTCTTCCCCAGGGGT